TTCATGCTACATAATTGAAAACTAATCCTTATTCCATAATGAATAACCGTTAGATTATAATGTATCTTATAATCAAAAAGGGTAGTAGAAGGGACATGGGGAATTATAGACCTGTTAGCCTTACATCCATTGTAGGAAAAACAATGAAAAGGATCATAATAGAGAGAGATCTAGTGATGCTAGATAGGGAGGGGAGGCTGACAGCCACACAACACGGCTTCCGCTAAAACAGGTCCTGCCAGACAAACCTTGTGAAATTCTACGACAAGGTTTCAAGATGGCTAGATGGAGGGGATGCAGTGGATGTGGTATACCTGGATTTCAGCAAGGCCTTTGACAAAGTGCCCCATGATATCCTGGTGGAGAAACTGAGGAGTTTTGGGATACACCAAAGCACTGTCCGGTGGATTAGGGCATAGTTGACTGACCGAAAGCAGAAGGTAACCATTAGTGGGGAATCGTCGGGATGGCGGCCAGTGACAAGCGGGGTCCCCCAGGGCTCTGTCCTGGGGCCGATCCTGTTTAATCTTTTCATTAACGACATGGAAGAAGGGGTGAACAGTCTTCTGATCAAATTTGCAGACGACACTAAAACTGGAGCAGTGGCCACAACCGAGGAGCAGGTACTCCAGATCCGAAAGGACCTGGACAGACTATGGAAGTGGGCAGGAGACAACAGGATGGCGTTCAATGTGGATAAGTGCAAGGTCTTGCACTTGGGGCATAGGAATAGGTGTCATAAGTACAGGTTAGGTGACAAGTGACTGGAGAGCAGCACTTGTGAAAAGGACCTCGGGGTATTGGTTGACTGCAGGCTAAACATGAGTCAGCTGTGTGATGCAGTGGTCAGGAGGGCGAATGCCACCCCTGTTTGCATAGCCAGAAGTGTGGCTTCTAGATCGAGAGAGGTATTACTACCACTCTACATGACTCTGGTGCGCCTGCAACTGGAGTATTGTGCTCAGTTTTCGACCCCTCATTACAGAAAGGATATAGCCAGGTTGGAGTCAGTGCAGCGTAGGGCCACAAGGTTGGTGGCCGGTTTGCAGGGGATGCCGTATGAGGTGAGACTGAGGGAACTGGGTCTCTTCAGCCTGGAGAAGAGGAGACTCAGAGGGGATCTGTTGGTGACATACAGGTATATGAGGGGATGTCACATGGAGATGGGTAGAGACCTGTTCTCCCATGCAGAGGAAGGCAGGACGCGCTCCAATGGAGCAAAGCTCAGGGAGCCAAGGTTCCGTTTGGATGCCAGGAAGCACTTCCTGACAGTTAGGACCCTGAGGGTGTGGAATGGGCTTCCACAAGAGGTTGCTGAGGCCCCATCAGTGCGGGTGTTCAAGGATAGCCTGGACGTGCACATGGTGGGCATGTCGTGAGTGAAGCCGGCTGGAGCCAGGGGTCAGACTAGATGGCCCAGGAGGCCCCTTCTGACTCGCTCTGTTTCTGTTTCTATGTATCTTCAATAGAAAATTGAAAATCTTTAGCTAGATTTTTCCTCAAAAACATTTTATTTTAAAAAACCTAATTTAAATAAAAAAGTCTGCTTTAAATTTAAAAAAGCAATTTAAATAAAAATCCAGTTTTTATTATTTTAAAAAGTCATTGATTTTTATCTACCCTGATCTGGTGCATGTGCTTTGGAGCATCAGTAGTGAAAGGCTGTCAGAATGATCTTGCCAGCTGAATTCCGATGGAGCACTCTAACGTCTCTTGTGTGTTGGAGCTTTATAATGTATATGCAAGTTTAACTGAGAGATGAGAATACATGCTTCTCCAGCTGTTGTTGGATTGCAACCTCTCTCATCCTCCCTGTTGTCTATGCTAGCTGGGGCTGATAGGAATTGCAGTCCAACAATGCCTGGAAGGCTCCACCTGTCTCAGGGAGGGAAGGACCTTTCCCAGGCTGCAGCAGAAACGTGCCAGAAAACCAGCTTCCACTTGAAATCCAAAGCAGAGTTTACCACAGCCGAGTCCGTGATTAAGTTTCATAATGGAACGATGACCCAGCTTGCCTTGAAAAGGCACGGCTTCAAAACAGTTGACCTTTCCTGAAAGGTCTGCTCAGTTCTGCTGTTGGCCCCTCCTGGGGTGGCCTTCCAGTGTCCACACAGCGACAGCCATAGATTATATGGCCAAAATGGCACCATCTACTCACAAAAGGTGGGACTGGCAGGTTCAGTGAACCCCCAAGGTCATAGAAATAGAAAAGAACCATGTGTTGATGTGTGGTTGCGTCTTGATTATATTCTTGATTTATTTTGTTTATAGTACTGTACGTTCATCTCTCTCTTCAGCCAGAAAGCCGTCTGGAGAGGTTCACAAGCAATCAGCAAAAGAAGCCAGTCTCTGCCTGCGGGATTCCAGGCTGAAAAGACAGGACACTCTAGAGGAGGGGAAGAGGAAAACCGTTTTTTAGAGTGGCTGCTGGTGTGGCAGGACGGCTTTCAGGGGAAGGACTTCTAGCCCTGAAAGCTTTCTTCCCCCTCTTCTATCTCCATAGATGACTTTAAAAAAACAGCAAAAATGGTGTTCCTTTCCCCTTGTTAGCTGCCTTGAACTTCCTGGAAACTCAGGATGTAAATGCTTTAAACCAGCATCGATAATGCATATGAATATTTAAGGATATCGCCCTCAGGAGGCGGCCTGCAGAGAAGAGGAGAGGAGAGGAGAGGAGAGGAGAGGAGCGAGGTGTCGGACTTGGTGGGATGGGGCAGAGCGAACTCTGCACGGGGCAAATCTGCATCGTGAGGTTTTGTTGCAAGGCTTGCTTGTACCACGTGCCAGTTCAGTGTCTTCCTCTTCCTCCTTCCCCGTGCTCTGTCCTCAGGTCCGTGGGAGGGACCCTGCTTTGGAAACCGCCACCTTCAGAGTCATGTCTGGTGGCAGTGGGAAAGAGGGTCTTCCTGGTGGTTGGTTGGCTTCCCTTTTTTTCCCTACTGGAAGACAAATACCCTCACCCCCCAGCAGCCCTTTGGAGTCCAAGCCCAACCCTTTGTTGGGTTCCATACCGTCCCTTTTCTGTTTGTGCTGTGTTTTAAATTATGGTTTGTTTTATTATTTTCCTCAATTTTTATTTATGATAGTAAGCCACCTTGCTTAGTAGTAAGATAGTAGTAAGTAAGTACGTAAGTAAGTAGTAAGATAGTTAGCCACCTCTCAGTAGAAAGGCAGGATACAAATCAAATTAATAAAAGGGTTCTTTATTTGTAAAGAAAAGAGAAAGACATAAAAGAAGTGCTTGTCAACTATTTCATATAGAGAAGAGGGCCTCCTTGTGGCACTTACATTCACTGGATGTTTCTTTTATGGCAGCCTGGTTGTAGATACAGCACACACACGCGCGCACACACACACCCATTTTGGCAGTGTGCATTTTTTCCTAATTCACTCTTCCCTTGTTTATCTTTACAGTTGAACCAGGGGTCCAATTTGGACCTTTTGGGACTGATGAGCAGTTTAGAAGTCAGGGCAGCAATTTTGAGGTAGATTTTGATTAGCACTTGAAGAAAAACTCTGGAGCAAATTGCAGTGTTAATCAAGCTAAATTAGGTTGTGGAGGGTTCCCCAGTCCTTCACTCATCCACAGGAAGTAAATTTTATTTTTAAGCAATGTGGACATACTAAACTGGAATAGTAGGTTGTGTGGGAAGCCCCAGGTCAGTTGGATCTCTTTATGTGCCCAACCGCTTATTTATTTATCCTTTGCACACTTCATTGGATTGCAGTGTTAGTTGATTAATCAGCTAAAACTCATTTGATTCATGGTTTAATTGTCAATTGATCTAATGTGCATCTATTTACATATGACTAAAACAAACAGTTTGAGTTTAAACAGCTCTTGTCTTTAGATGGTCCATGCATATTTGCAGTAGAGGCCATCTTGGAAGCAACAGCCCTAGTCTTCCTCAGATATGCGAGTCAAGGCACCTATCTCCTCCGAGATCATGCCCTCTCATTTCAGCTTGGAAGTACTTGTAGCGGAAAAATTGGTCAAGATTTCAGAGACCCTTGAGTATCTTCCACGGCCTAGAATGAGTTACACTTCTGGCCTTCTCTCCTTTGAATCAGCATTATTTGAGGTCAGGAAAACAGTTACAGCATTGGAAGGTCTCTCAGAAGGCCTTCTAGTCCATGACCTTTCCAGTGCAGGCTTCCAGCTGTTTGCATCCCTGTTAGATGGCATCCATCCATCTCCGCATGGCACAGGTTTGGATCAGTCCTAGTACAGACTCCTAGCAGAGTTACCTTTCTCTGAGTCTGCCTGTTGAAACTCTGTATGGATCCCCACTCTGGAAAACCCAGAAAAGTTATGTGTGCAGAAGAGTGAGTGGCTAGTCTCTGTGGGGCCAGGGAATTCTTATTCTTACAAGAAACTCAGCCTTTCTTGACTGTAAGAATGAAATTTGTATCCATCTTGTGATTCAGGAAAAAAGTATGGTTGGGCTATTAGATTTGCAGGAAGTAGGCTGCCACTCTGTGATCCTTGGAAGATACGTGAGACGCAGATGCAATACATTTTAATATATCCAAAACCATGTTGTTTGAGAATGTCACTAAATATGTGTATGGCATTGATCCAATATATGCTGTTTACTTGGACTTCCACATGCTTTTGGCAAAGTCCCTCATCAAAGACTCCTGAACAAACTTAGTAGTTAGGGAATAAGAGCAGAGATTCCTGTATGGATTGGTGACTGAAGAACAGAAGGGAGAGAGGGAAATACAGTATAAATTCTCCCTGTGAATGGGGAGCTCCACAGGGATCTGTATCGGGCCTATAGCTTAAAGTGCCAAAGCCACAAGCAGGGAAAAACCCTTCCTGAGCTCAGTGGGTTTCTTGGCCTACTTAAGCCTGGCTTTAATGTTGGTGAGGCAATATTGCACTTTGCAAGTCTCTCGCTTCAGTCTGATGGGTTGATGTGTCTCGAATAAGATTCCTTTCTGTGTTTTATCTTCCTTGCAGCTGTAGCTTTTTTGGTAGCATACCATCAGAACAAGGCACTTATTGGAGACAAGGGACTCCTGCCCTGCAAGCTGTATTTGGAGAATGTCAAGCGCTATTTCAAGGGGAAGATGAACTTGGATGCCTTGAGCTATGCGCCAACTCTCATCTGGTTCTTGGATTGGTCCAGCATGGACAGCATCTTGGACAGCTTTGCTCTGACCGGCCTCGCAATATCAGCTTTTGTCCTGGTCACCGGTTGTGCAAACATGATTCTTATGGCTGCTCTGTGGATACTCTACCTCTCACTAATTAATGTGGGACAGATCTGGTAAGCTGACTTGTTGATCTCATTTATGAAGCTCATTTCTTGCTGCTCTGCCTGAGGACTGCAAGATAGTAAATACTGACACTCAAATGACAATATAAACATGATGAAACCTCTATACAAAGTGCAAACTTAATCGAAAGGACAGGCAGAAGCTAGACCTGTGAGCTCTGTTCAGCTCTGGGGCTTCAAACAGAGCACACAGTTCTGCCTATGCTATATGCACCAGGCTTGGGTTAATGCATCACAGGATTCCAGTAAAAAAACAAAGTTATGGATGGTATGAAGAAAGCGAGCAAGGAGACAGTTTTCTCTCTTTCCCATTTCCTGGGGTCATTCCATGAGGCTGACTGTTGGGGAATTCGGGACAGATAAAAGGAGGTATTTCATCATACAGCACAGAGTTAAACTGTGGAATTCGTTGCCACAAGAGAAGGTGCTGGCCACCAATCTGGGTGGCTGTAAAAGGACGGATTCATGGAGAAGACTAAGTGGCTATGTGTGGCCTCCTGTACACAAGGCTGTAGGCCTATGTGTCCCGGTTGCTGGGGAACATGGGTGGGAGGGCACTGTAGCACACCAGTTTTGCTTGTGGGTTCCACGCAGGCATCTGGTTGGCTGCCATGTGGACAGAATGCTGGACCTTTGGTAGGATCCAGCCCCAGGTCTCTTCTGGTGCTGTTGATGAAGCTGGTTCCGCACACCTGAAACGTTCCCAACCTGGATCAAGAGAAAGAAACGCAATGATGCTTTCAGAAGTAGGCAGATAGAAATGGTGAAGGAGTGGAAAGGTTGGGAGGACGTCCTGCTTCCCACGGGGTGTACTGATTTCTTTGCCCACCTGGTGCCCCTAGATGTGCTGGACTACGGCTTCCAGCATCCCCCAGCTGGGTAGAGGATTGTGACCTTGGGTGGACTTGATACAACCCATTCCTAAGGTTTCAGGGTTGAGGTATGCAATGTTTGGACTGTGGCTTGTTGAATAAGGTGTAACCTAAGGTCTACTCTGTTAGGACAGTCCAGTTCCCCATTCCATTCCTGCTTTACATGCTGTGCATCATATTTATTCAACAGTGATAAATATTTATAAACATGGATTGTGGGTCAATATAACTGATCAGCCCAATAAGTATTTCCAGTAGCAGAAGAGACTGTGAAGCTTCAAAAGCTGCAGGGTCAAACCTAGATTGCAACTGGAAGTATTGCCATTCTATCATAGCAGGGAAATCATATTTGATAGGCAAATCTGAAAATGACAGAGACTTATCATCAGTCTCATTAATGGATATCAAGTAAAAATAAATTAATTCAACCAAGTCCACGACTAACACCATTTTCCTACCAATTTAAATCCTTGATTTTGCCATAATGTCAATTTAGCATGTGAAAAAGGTTCAAAATGTAATTGCTGCAATATTATATGCTACACATTTCTAGTAACCATTGTGGTTGGAGGAGTCTTATCCATTTTAATATGCTGACAGCTTGATGCCTTCTGTTGGGTAAAAGGGTCCAGATAGAAGATTCCAGAACTGACCATGGTGGAAAATCTAATATAAGTGAGAAAGACCAAACTTTAGTGTGAGTGAGTAAACAGGCCCAATGATATAAAGCAAGAACCGGAAAGCCAAACCCAACTTCCTTGATGGAATGTTACATTGGCTGCATAACTGGCTATTAATTAATTGGCTATTAAGCTGCATTAATAGAAGTATCACCTTTAAATCACATGAAGTATTAGTTCCCCTTTACTCAGCACTGGTTAGGCCTCATGTGGAGTACTGGGTTCTGGGCACCCCAGTTGAAGAAAGATGTGGACAAACTGGAAAGGATTCAGATGAGGGCAACAAGGATGATCCGGCTACTGGAGACAAAGCCCTGTGAAGAGAGATTGAAAAAACTGGGCATGTTTAGCCTCAAGAAGACAAGACAGGAGAGACAGGATAGCACTGTACAAGTACTTGAAAGGCTGTCACAAAGAGGAAGGACAAGATCTCTTCTTCATCATCCCCGAGTGCAGGACTCAGAGTAACGGCTCAAGTTTCCACAAGCCAGAGAGCAGGAAAAATGTCCTGGCTGTCAGAGCAGCACGACAGGGGAACCAATTACTTAGGGAGGGTGTGGGCTCTCCCTCCCTAAAAGCATTCAGGATGCAACTGGGAAGCCCTCTGAGGGATGGTTTAACTTGGTGTCCTGCACTGAGCAGGGGGTTAGACTCAGTGGTCTTCTGGCCCCTTCCAACTCTCCTATTCTGTGATTATTTTCATGGATACTTGTGCTGGAGAGGAATATTGCAAAAGAGAAGTTTAAATGTTTGCAAATATTTGCCAGGAATAGAGGAATTGCACATGTAGCATAGACAGTCTGAGGTATTACATTAATCTTAAGTGTGTTAACCTTACTCCGCAAAACCAGTTTTAGTGGTGCCCATCTGTCTGCATCCTGTAAGATCTGATTAGGTCGTATGTCCAAACTGCTGAGATCCGGGTCTTTCCTCTTTGCTTCTGCGGCCCTGACCTGTGGGAAGGGCCATGAGGCTCTCCCAGTGCGTAACAGATATAGACAACAGATAGACTTCCTTGGACTGTACACTCACAATCAGCATGGCTTTATCTGGTGCCTTATTGGGTTGATTTTCCAAGGAGAAATTCCCATGTGATTAACACACTGAATGGAAAAGAAGGACTTCCATGCAGAAGCATCCAAAAAGATTTTCCTTGGCACCCCATTGATGCACCTGGACATCCCGAGTTTTTGTTTTCCAGCATCTGTTGCATGCTGTTGTCAGAGACAAAATCTTGAGTTACGTGGAAGTATGGTGTGAGGTTACTGATGGGAAGCTAGTTCAAATGTAAACACGTGGGCCGTTGTTTTTTCGAAGAGCAGTGCAGTTTTCCTTCTCTTCTTTTCTGCCAGCCAGGGCCAATTTATTCTTTTTAAGTCCCTTCTTATTTTAATTTTTAAAGCATTTATCTATTTGTTTTGGGCCAGAGACTTCAGATACCAGACTCGCTTGACTCGAGTGCTTTTCTTTTTAACTGCGGTCCAGCTGGCTGGAATACTGAGTGGAAAGGAAGGGGCGGCCCCATTTTCTAATTTCTAATTTTATTTTTTATTTTTGCAGTTCACAGAAGGGACGTTGTTGCTACGTGCAGTCATGTACCCCAAAGTGCCAGTCTCTTTGGTTTGTGAAGAGATCTGTGATCATAATGTTCCCTCTTCCTACCTTCTGGGGACCATTTTGAGCCTTGTTTGGCAGAGGAGATTCCTTGGCTGATTCCCAGAACATTTTAGAGGATCCTGAAGAATGTTCTAGACTAGGATGGGTGCTTGGTTCACGCATAGTACTGGGCAGGCCCATTGTCTTACCGCCACCTGGTGTGGCCTGAGACTACTCCCTGCCCCTCCCCACGGCCGCACTTGGCCGGGAAAGGGCCGCCATGGTGGGCGCCCTTTCTTTTTGTCTGATCCCTGCACAGTTGCCAGTGGCTTCTGCTGTTCCCTGTCATGCAGCTGGAAAGCCACTGTTTGAGGGGCAATTTGGACTGGTGGAAGAAGGGGCTGTTACCAGGCACTGGCCTGGGTGGAAGGGCCAAAGCCGCGAGGGCAGGAGAAGGGCTTATTCAAGCCTGGAGGACGGGCCCTTTGCCGTTGGCCACCTGCGACTATGGCTGCTCACAGCAGTGGCCTTTTCCTGTATGCCGGTCGCCTTGTTTCCTTATGAGGCTAGGAAACTGAGCATTTCTCTTCCCCAAGGTCAAAGGCACTCAGGGAGAGGACGCCTCTTCTTGACCAGAGGTTTGGAATAGTTAAGCAGCTGGAGCAGTGGGCGTTTTTCCATAGGTGACCCTCACCAGGGCGAGAGTGAGGTTAACAAGGGGGCACCTGTCAAGCTCTCTTGTTTGGCGCTGGGGAAGGGATTCTATTTTGTGACCCCTCTGTGTAGAAGCAACTGGCTGGCACTTTGGCTTGTCTCAGTTGGCTGTGCTTGCGACTGGAGGGCCCAGGGGTCGTTTTGCTCGCTCTGCTGCTTCTGTGCAAGCCTTGGGGGGTTCTGCTAAGAGATGTGCCAGTGGCCGCCTTGCTGGGGCTATAACGGAAGTTGCCAAGAGTGTGCAGACGGTGGCTGGGGGATATTGCTGCGCTCCTTGGAGCGTCCAGTGCGAGAGTCCCTGGGTCAGCCCCATCGCCTGTGCTGCTTAGCAGCTACGTGAAGCCGCAGGGTGGGGCCGCCTGCTGGTTTGGAGTGCTCTGCCGGCAGTGTGCTGATGGCACGCAGTTCTATTTCTCCTCTTCATCCTCAGCTGGTGAGGCTGTGGATGTGCTAAACAGGTGCATGGCTGGATGAGGGCTTACAAACAGAAGTCTAATCCAGACGAGTCTGAGATGCCGTTGTTGGGTGGTTCCTCTGACCAGAGGAAGGAGTGCGACCTGTTGCAGATGCGTCTGAACCCCCGCGAAGGAGCAGGTTTGTAGCTTGAGGGGTTTATCCCCGATCCCTCTGTGTCACTCGAGGCTCAGGTGGCTTGCGTAGATCAGGGTGCCAGCATCAGCTGGTGGCCCAGCTAGCCCCGTATTTGGACTGGGTCTCTGGCGTCAGAAACCTGCCCTGTGGCAGACTCTAAATCAGGCTATTGCAATGCTCTCTATATGGAGCTGCCCTTGAAGATGATTCAGAAGCTGCAGCCTTTTCTCTGCTTTGATCTTCATTCAAACTTCTTGATGCATCTATTTAAGGAGGAGAAATGCTGGTTGTTTCTCTTATGGAAAATGACCTGTGATACAATTAGGATTGTTGTAATGAAGTTTGGGGGATTTGTAATTCAGACCAAGTCAGTTCACATCATTTTGTGGAGGAACAGGCGACATTGCTCAGTGGTTTGGGATTGCCGACTGTAAATCTTCTCTTGGGGCTGTGCAGTGAATATACATCAATTAAAGATACGCAGCACCAGTGTTTACAGGATTCATTTGGGACCTTGCATGTGTAAGTGCTTTTGAAA